CCGGTACCGGAGAAAAAAAAAAAAAAAAAAGAAAGGTGTGGGTAGGGTGCCTCGTAGTGCTCTTACCTCTTCAGGGCATCTTGTTGGAGAACTTACTTCTCCAGGATCGAGCATAACATTTTTCTTTCTTTTTCACAGTCTGCTATGATCATCAACTAGGTGACACAGAAGTATCAGGGAGCATTGAGGCACTCCTCTCTGCCCTGTGAGCACCTTTTCCTCTAATCCGCACCCTCCTTCTGAAAGTTTTTGTTTTTTTGTTTTTTTGTTTTTTTGGTTTTTTTTTTGGTACTGGGAATAGAACTTAGGACCTTGTGCTTGCCAAGCAGGCAGTTGTGCCACTGAGCTGTATCCCCAACCCTGAAAGTGAATTTTCATTTGTGTTGAAAATGTTTACCACTGAGAGTGCGGTTGTAGCAGTGATGGCAATCCTTTTAGAGCTTTCAGTGATACCAACAGCCCACACAGGCACGCATGCCATGGGTCCACCACCACTGCATTACAGAATAAGATGATCAAAGAGGATTTTAAGAAAAATTGGGCACTGCTTTCTCATTCATTGTTTTCATGAACAAGTTTCCTGATTTTACCAGTTGTTTCTGAAGTGGACAAAGTACTATTTGTTGCCATTTTCCCACACCATAAATTTGTACTGAAAAAACAGTGTTAGTGGCTATTTCCGCAGTAATTTGAAAGGGTGGATTGTGATTCGTTAAAGTCACCTGTTAAGTAACTGACTTTTATTGGAATAACGTTTTAATAGCAAGTGTGTCTATTGTATTTTGTTATATGTACTCAGCTCTCCAAATTCTCTATGCTTGGATTCAGTCAACTATAGACTGAAAATATTTGGGGGAAAAATTACAAACATTTTTTTAAGTCTGTGGGAAGATGTGCATAGGTTATATGTAGATATGCCATCTTATGTAATGGGCTTGAGAATCTGCAGATTTTGGCATCTGCAGGGATCATGGAAAATTACCCTGCAGATAAAGTAGGATGACTGTCTATCCATACTATTACCAGTGTGATTGTTTTCCTGCCAATGTTTAGGGTGAGTACTGCATTTTCTTATTGATGTTTTCAGTTGAGTTAGAATGTTTTCTCAATCTTCACATGTTTGATTATACTTATAATATTGTAACTTGCTTTTTTTTCTGTTTTGTCTTTGACTTCTTTCTGCTACCTGGGCAAAACCGTAAATAGTAGGTTTTATGGCCTTGAGGTATAGTTTTCATTAAAAAAAAAAAAACTTTGCCGAATAATCACTTCATATAAAATCCCAACCAAATCCATTAATGAAAAAAAAAATTAAGCAATAGATTTTCAAGGATAATTCTTCATGGTTGGTCTCATGAATAACACATGCTCATTGAATTACATTTAATTATTGCCTGGATTCAACTGTAAAGTCCATATTTCTTATAGGAAGAATGAGAAATCCATAAGTTCAAGAGAGCTGATTGCCAAAGAATTTGTTAAGTTTTACTTATATAAAATTCTAATCAATGCCCCAAGGCATGATTGATTACCTTATTGATTAGCTAGTTTCTTGTTTGGTAGTTCTGTTTTGTTTAACTAAAACTGTGGCATCTTTCTTTTCTTGTTTTTCCTTTTAAATTTTGACAATATTAAATATCCTCACCAAAAAATATATATATATCCTCACAAGGTTTTTCCAAACATTGCCCACATATTTATAAGTAGTCCCATTAATAAGATTTCAAAAGTAATCTTTGTACCGAGGACAGCTAGCCATTCCAGGATACCAGCACACAGCTACTCTCTGTATGTACTATCCCTTTCTATTTTTTAATTTATTTATTTATTTATTTATTTTGGTACTGGGAATCGAACTCAGGACCTTGCACTTGCTAGGCAGGCGCTTTGTACTATCCCTTTTCTTGTCATTTAGTTTTTTTTTTTTTTTTTTTTTTTTTTTGTACTATCCCTTTCATCTACACTGAGCTCTATTAACAGTAAATTGTGTCAGTGTGGGGAGTGCTACTCATAGTGATGGTTGTGAAGTAATGAAAATGTGACATAATGAAAAATACCAACCTTCACTGAAATACTTCTATTTTTCTAATAGTTTGCTGACCTATCTACTGTATAGGAAGAACCAAATTTAAATTAAGCTTCCATTTTCCCTGGAAAGAGGTGGTAGATAATATTTATACTGAAATCCCTGTGCTATGTGGAGGAAAGGGAGAGGTCCAGGGATTCTGGGGATCTGGGTGGTCTGGTAGCAGCCACTTGTTGAAAAAACGCATTGTTCAGGTTAGAGGGTGGACAGGGCTTCCTTCTGCCGTTTCCTGGCTGAGTGGCTTAGAGTGACTTATTTAATTTGGCCCTGAGAACAGCAAGAGGAGTTCCCCACGTTAATACTTGCTTTTAAAATCTACCCTAGGGAGCCCCGGGATTTCTTGGAGTCTCCCCAAGAGTCCTCGGGTAGTTGAGTGGATGGCAGCCCACCCAGAACAGTTGCTCCTGTAATGTTTTTGGGGTTTTTTTTTTCTTCAGTAGAGAATTATTTAGTTTTAAAAAGCTTACTTGGCTCCAGGATCCCTTCTAGCTCTATAAAAATATAGCTTCTCTCTGCAGTCATTTTCCTTCATGTCTTTTCTGGGAAGAGGCCTACAGCTAATCAGGGTGAAAGATAACCTTGTGAATACAGTCGAGATACTAACTTAGTGTTTTGATTTGGAAGGGCTAACTGAGTGAACTCACATGGAGGAACATCACTTCCCCCTTCGAAAAGGGTAAGGATAGAGTAGAAAGGAAATAAAAACACAACACACGCAAAAGCACACATAGGGTTTCAGCCCTGGAAGAAAATTCCCCACCCTTGGACAAAAGCTTGAAACTGGTAGCATGAGAGATATAGTCATGAAAAGTAAAATACTTAAGAGAACATTTACTGTTTTTGTTTTTTTTTTAATTTGCGGTGAAAATCTTATAAATCAACTTCCTCACATTTCAGATATAATATACCCTATTATTTTCTTTTGGCAATTTTTGAAACTTTCATGATTCTCCATAAAGTAGCATTGTTCATATTTTATAATAAAATTGCTTAAAAAGTTATTTGTAGCTCTTGTTAATTGATTTGCCCATATGAATGGAAAACTGTAAAAACTACACAAGTTATAGTCTTATGTTGTCTGTGAAATATCCAAACAAACATCTAAATGAAAACTAAATGGTTAGGGCTTGGAGATGTAGCTCAGTGACAGATTGCCCAACATGAATGGAGTTCTGGGTTTGATCCCCAATACCCTACCCCCCAAAAAAGCTAAATAGACCAATATTCTCACTGCTTATAAGGACCTAAAATGGGGAGGGGGGGCAGTGACTGTAATAAGAACAAGAAGTGATGGTTATCCTTGTACCCCACAGTCAGCAATTCCTTAGTTTTCTCTCTGCATTCTATACTTGATTAGCCAATTGCAAATCAAGCAAACCCCTGTTAAATGACACTGTATAAGTTATTTTACCTCTCTTTGCCATGACTCTCTTATATGAAATGGAAATAATTATATTTTCTCCTTCATAATGATGTAAAGTTACTAAGATGTGGTTAGACTTAGCAGTCCCTAGCCCATGATTAGCATGGTGTTATGTATGTGCTATTATTATGTTATTGAGCAAAAGAGCAGAGATGGATGAAATTTAAACCTGCTTGAGAAATAGGAACGTCTATCTACTGAGATAGGGGAAAGATGTAAACTGGGGAAAATAAATGCAAGAACAATTCATCTGGCAACAGCCTATGAAAAGCACTGGAGCCAAGAGATTCCAGAGTCAGGGGCCAGTGAGGATGACCCAGTCCGGGGGTCCAGTAAGTGTGTCCCGAGCTGCCAGCATGGAATGGGAGTGGAAGGGGGAAGGTGGTCAGTTCACAGGCTTATCTGACGGAAAGAGCAAGAGGACGCGAATCTCGGACTCTCAAACTAGTGACTGGCGTTACAACTGTATCATTAATAGAATTAGCAATCCCAGGATTGGTCTTTGGTTTTTTAATTTCTTTGTATGAAGAAATAAGATTTTTACAGACTAATGAAGATTAGATGTACCATATTTTACTATATTATTATGTAATAATATATAGCTGATAATCTTTATCAGTAAATTTGTAGATGCCATAGTTTAAAGAGCTTTCCTCCAATTAAGAAAAACATTTCATACTTTCCTAATTCTTTGATTTAGATTCCTAAGTATATAATACTGTGTCAGGCCCGGGAGACCTGCTACTCTTCTATTCATTTATCTCAAGACTGCAGTTATGGGGGCTGGGGATTTAGCTCAGCGGCACAGCGCCTGCCTGGCAAGCGCAACGTCGTGAGTTCGATTCCTGGTCCGGATGGGGCCGGGGGCCGGGGGAAAGGAAAAGGACTGCAGTTATAATGACATGAGGCATTCAAACCTGAAAACTTGAAAACTGAACCATCATCTGTGAGATTATTCAGGTTGCAGGTAATTTCAGTTCATTGTTCCCTGAGTGTTTGTCCCACTTCCAGGTGCGCTGGATGATGTACTGGATTGTTTTCGCTCTGTACACCGTGATTGAAACAATAGCGGATCACACGGTTGCTTGGTAAGTTCTGTTACTAGGCCCTCCCCCTCGTTTCCGTTTCCTTGTGTCCTGAGTTCTTTTTTTTTTTTTTTTTCCCGGTACCGGGAACACGAACTCACGACCTTGCGCTTGCCAGGCAGGCGCTTTGCCGCTGAGCTAAATCCCCAGCCCCCTGTGTCCTGAGTTCTTATCCTGCTTTTGTTAATAACAAAGTGAATTTCACCAAGTTGTAATTATCCAGCCTCCCATGGTCTTCATCTGCTTCCCCGACACACGTTACTTTTTGTAGCCCCCACGCCTGCATGAAGGCGGTTCGCTGCTCCCGGTGCCACTCTGCCAACCTCCCACACTCTCTATGCGGGACCTGGGAGTAGAGAAGCTGGGCTGGCATCATCCCTTTCCTGTACCGATGACTTCAGATCCCTTTCCTGATCACTCCCTAAGTGACTTCTCTTCTGAAACCCACGTGTGATTTGAGCATTTCCTCCCCATGCTTAAAATTCTCATCTGCAGACACTCAGATTGGAAAGCCTCCATGTCGTCATCCACTCAGTACCAGCTCCTCAGCTACCCCGTTCCACACGGCATGAGGCGGAGTTGCAGCATGTTTATTTCCTTGGGGATTTAACATTTTTCCAGTACTTAATGGAACAATTCAAACGTCTCTGTGCTGTATTTCATTTCCACCTCTGCCATCACTTGAGGGAGGCCTTCCTTCTCAGTATGTAACTTGCGACCTTGCCAGGATTCAATACTCTAAACACATAAACTTCAGCCTAAATTAACCAAGTTGTCGTTCGTCATTTCTTCACCTGGGCTACCAAATGCAGCCCAACAAAAGTCACTCAGCAGCACCTGTGGGCATCACTTAAACGTCTCCGTTCTTGTGTTTGCTCTTAGTCACTTGCAGCTTCTGTTCTCCTTTGTGTCCGCATCACACCTTCACTGTTCTCTCTTTGAGCGCTTTCCCACTTCGCATTCTCAGGTTCCTGGGGCACACTGGGCCCCATTGGATTGGCTAGGAGCAAAAACAGAAGTCACTGGACCTAAACCTTCACAACCTGCCCTTATTTCTGAATTTCTCGGTATCTGCACCTGTCTTTCTTTTTGTTTTATTTTGATGGGACAAGGGGGGCTAAGCACACACTCCATACCTCTCGTAGGCCCTATCTTACATGACATGTATTTTCCTCAGTCCCAATCCATTCATTTACCTGTTACGTTTTTGGAGTAGAGGTTTGAGAGAGAATTCTTTTTTTGTTTCTAAGTGGTAGAACACAGATTCCAAACCATGCTTGTGTCTTTAAGTTTCAAATTTTGTTTTAAATCTTCTCATTTTTTCTGATTTAAAATGTAGCCTGTATACAGTTTTTGAAAGGGAAGAAAAACACAAGCATGAATATTGAAAGTTGACCAACTCCTCTGTGGCAGAGATGCTTTGTTGACTACACATGGTCAGACCTCACTGCCTCCTCCCTCCCTGTCCTCCTTTGCAGAAGAACCCAGCCTTGATGAGGTCACTGTGTAACTGGGTGCCTCCTGGGCCACAAGGTGCACGGCCTTTCCTGAGATGTTAGTTGACATCTAGTGCGGTAGCAGACAGCCCTTTAAAACACAGTGGGTTAGAACAACAAGGTACTTGAGCAAGAAGAGCTGACTGCAGCTTTGCTGGGCTCAGCTTAGTTTTCAGTGCCTTCTCAGCTCAGCAGCAAGGCGGAAGCAGCAGCTCTTCGCATGGCAGAGGCAGAAACCTAACGCAAGAGTTGAGAGCACTGGGCTAGTAGAATCAAGGGGCATTTAACGCTTCTGTTTGCATGTGACCTGTGTCACCATCTCGTTCTGTTGATTAGAGCAAGCCACGCAGCTGAATGTAGTCATTGGTTGGGGAAGTGTGTTCTGCCTACAGGGAAGGTACTGCGGGGTCACATGAAAAGGCCATGAGTAGGGGCCAGGGATATAGCTCCGTGGCCCAGCACCAGCCTGAGGCCCTGAGTTTGATTCCCGGTACCAAAAATATAAAAGACCCTGAGTGTTTAACCCTAATTCCTAGTCTACGCCCACGCCAATTGCCTTTCAATCCCAAGTAAAATTTGAAGTGCTGGCTAAATGAGATTGGAAAGGAAGTTTTCTGGAAGTTGTGAGCAAGATCAGGAATGTGCATTTGGGGTAAACAGCGTGCACCTGGAGCATGTAAAGTTGCGCCCTGGTGTTCGGAGGTGTGTCGTGTATTCCTGCAAGAGTTCACCCACAGTTCTCCTATCTAAGCCTCCCAAGTGGCAGGGTTACAGGCCTCTGCCACTGTACCCCAGGTTACATGCTGTTATCACCCTCTTACCTGTTGTAGTTTGGCAGCTTGCCTGGACTTGTGCCAAAGGAAGAATCTGGTACCAGAAGGTGTGAATCCCTGTGGGTATCAGTTCACTTTTGGGTTAACTCATCCAAGGGTAAGATAATTTGTCAGCTGCATCATGATTGTTTCCCTGATCACCAACTTTTATGTATAAAAACTGAACACAGTGACTAAACTTTTTTAAAAAATGTCTACATTGTTTGTAGTTTTATTTTTCACCAACAGTTTTCTTTTCCCCTTCGTTTTTTCCTGTTAGGTTTCCCTTGTACTATGAGCTGAAGATTGCTTTTGTCTTATGGCTGCTCTGTCCCCATACCAAAGGAGCAAGTTTAATATATAAAAAATTCCTTCATCCACTTCTTTCTTCAAAAGAAAGGGTAAGATATATAAATTATTTCCACAAATCATTTTTTAGAAGTGTTTGTGGATATATGCTTTATTTTGTGAAACTACTATAAGGTAAGAAAGTCCTACTTTTTGGCTTTTTAACATTGTTTATAACAAAATTAACATCTCTGGTTGCTTTTATGTTTGTTTCCACAGGAAATTGATGATTATATTGTACAGGCCAAGGAACGAGGCTATGAGACTATGGTAAACTTTGGGCGACAAGGTTTAAACTTAGCAGCTACTGCTGCTGTCACTGCAGCAGTGAAGGTAATTTTCATTTATCTTTTTTTATCTACTATCACATTAAATCTACAGATAAAATAGTTTTTTTTGTTTCAAACCGTTATAAAATTATGCTAGGCATTTGCATGATATTTATTCTAATACTAGGCTGATAGTTTTAGAGATTTTAACATTGTTTTTCATAAATATTCAATATTTTAAAACTCTTAGTTGATGACAAAACGTTAGTTAATAAATAAAACATATCTGAAAATGTCATTTTGTCATGACTTTCCCACCTTTTAACCTTGAGGTAGTCTGAATAAATCACCTCAAGTAAAGATGACTATTCTTCTTTCTCTGTCTTTGGTGTTTTCTCTCTCCATGGTGATATCTTGTAGGATTTCTGGCTTACTTCTGCACTTCTCCTCCAATCAGTTTGAGGTAACTGATCATTCAAAATAAGGCATGAGAATAATCTGTTCTTAAAACTTAAAATTTTACTTAGTCAATCACTAATGTTATTTGCTGTGTTTGCAAGCCAGTGCCTTCTGTGAAAATTGCATTATAGCTTTTGGATTTCTTTGCATGTAGTAACTGGTGTGGTTTATTTTAAATACCATAGCATAATTGATTTTAGTGTGTGATATAGGGAAAGAAAACAGGCTTCATATCCGGAAAATGCTGAGTGTGACTTTCTAAGTAACCACAGGCAATTTACTTAATTTCTGTGTTATTTGCTTCACATATAAATCAGGGTACTATACCTATTGCTAAGAGCACATATAAAAGTACAGTGCTTGCTTCCATATCATGAGAGTCCTGTAAACATCAATATCATGTATCTATTTCACTTCAAGTAAAAATTTTAACTTACTGCTACTAAGTTAAATGAAGAATAAAGTGTTCAGCTTTTAATTTTTTTTTTTTTTTTTTTTTTTTTTTTCCGGTACTGGGAATTGAACTCATGACCTTGCGCTTGCCAGGCAGGTGCTGTGCAGCTGAACTAAATCCCCAGCCCATGTTCAGCTTTTAGATCAGGCTGTTTGAGTCATTGTGAGCTAAAATAACAACACAGTGGAAAGAAGTATTCCAGTTCAGAGGTGACTGTACATGACCAAAAGGGTGAGGAGTGGAGAGTGAGGGTGCTCTGACTTAGCAGAGATCTTAGGCACGCCTGTCAAAACTAATACAATCAACAGTCAGAGAATTGGATTACTACTGTATGTACCTAGTAGTGCTGTGGTGAGAATTAAACGGACATTTATTCACTAGATATGTACATATATCTCTCTATATATGATAGCTGGTTTTTTTAATTGTGTTGTTTTTATGGAGCTGGGGATTGACTCCAGGGCCACTTGCATACAAGTATTATATCAGTGAGCTACACCCCTATATAGTTTGCCGGTTATTTTCTTTTTTTGTTGTTGTTGTTGTTGTTGTTTGTTTTTTGTTTTTGGTACCAGAGATTGAACTCAGGTCCTTGCGCTTGCCAGGCAGGCACTTGTGCCACTGAGCTACATCCCCAGCCCTGTTCTTTGACTTTTAAAGCTTCTTTTATTAAAGATAAGTCCATAAATAAATACTAAAATAGCAAAATTTTCAGCTTAATAAAAATGCACTCTTGATTTCTATATCTGTCAAAAAAGGTCATCCAGGAGATCCAATATTCAATAGCTAAGAATTCTCAAAAGAGAAAAAAAATACAAACATCAAGGAAAAAGTAATACTACATTAATATTCCAGTAACATTCTGGAAGTGAAGAGCACAGGTCTCCACATTGGAAAAGGCTGCACAGGTCCCAGCACAATTAATGAAAAGAAAGACCAACTCTAAGTGAAGTCTTTGGATACGCCAAAACACCAAAGATAAAGAGAGGATTTTAAAAATTCCGAAGATAAATAGCATATCACATTCAAATGATCTAGAATCAGAGTGGCATTGCATTTCTAAATGGGGACAGTAGGAGCTGGGAGACAGAGTGATACCACCCAGGATTTTCACCTCAGGTTCCACAGTGGTGAAGTCTGAGTCATGTGTGTACGTTAGAGTAACATTTTTAATTTAAAAACGTTAGAGTAACGTTTTTAATTTGACACATGTGAAATCTCAAATTTTACCTACTGGAAATACTTCAAGGTAGGTATGTCCTTCCAGAGCTAGGGAACTTAAAAAAAAGCATCCAGTGGGCTCCTGGAAGCAGGCTATCCAACACTGTGGCAGATGGCAGAATGCCAAGAAAGGGTGCTACTCACCAAGTGCAAAGTATAGACCCCAGCACAGGCTGCAACAGGTGGAAGGTGTCAGGAAGGATGTCTCTGGGAGGAGTGTATGTTATGGGAGGCCTAAGAGATTTATACTATGCAGGAAAGATAGTTAAACCAGCCAAGCGCACGGCGTGACCAATGGGCAGCCTCACTGCAGAGAGACAGCTGGTACCGATGCAGCTGCACGTCAGCCTCCAACACCATGAAAAATGTATTTGAACCAGTGTAAAGAGGGAGGGCAAGATGACTGAGCCGATGGGGTAATAAAGGCATAATCATTAGCTTTGGGAAAAGCAGACATTACATAAGAAAGGCAATGTCATAGGAAGCCTGGCTCAGGCCAGCAGTGAACAGCATCTACACAGCGTCAGTGAGAACGCAGAGGATTTGACCTCCGCAGTGTTGGGAGGGTGGGAGAGGCGGGGAGGGGGGCAGAGGGACTGGAGTCCTCGCCCGGCACAGTGGGGAGCGCAGAGTTCCAAGCGGCCGTGTCTGCGGGTGTCTGAAGAGAAAAGGAATAAAAGCTTGTTTTCCATTAGTTACACAGTTGAGCATTGTTTTGCTTTACCAACCAACCACATGTATTTATTTTCACCCAAATTAAGATGCTTTCTGAATATTTCATACTTAAAAGCATTATTCAACATGGTTCTGTGGAGAAAAACTGCAAATTAAATTTCAACTTGAAAAACTGTTTAAAAAACAGACATATTAAAAAAAAAAAAAAAAAAACCAGGGGGCTGGGGATTTAGCTCAGCAGCACAGTGCCTGCCTGGCAAGCACAAGGTCGTGAGTTCAATTCCCAGTACCAGGGGGAAAAAAAAAAAAAACAGACATAGTTTAGGTCCTCGTTTTACTAACGATGGAAGAAAAGGGCTGGGGACGAAGCTCAGCGGCGCGGCGCCTGCCTGGCAAGCACAAGGTCCAGAGTTTGATTCCCAGTACCAAAATACCAGATGGAAGAAAATTCTTTTATCCTCCCTACTTTAGTGCTTAAACATGGTTTGCAATCCAGCTATTGTGTGAGACACCTTTCTACATACTGTGATTGTTTAGAGAGGTACTTATTTTATTTTAACTTAAGTGTACTACTTCCATACCCAATGAGAAGTCAGCAGTCCTCACTATATTATTTTATCCTTTTTCTCTCATTATGTTGTATACTTGGCTTCAATCAATATTTAACATGGCTACACACCATTTATTTAACATCTATGGAATGCCTATTATAGAGTAGATGCTAGGAATGCAGCAGGGAAAAAGACAGAGTCCCTGCCTTCACAGGCTACTATTGACTGTAGCTAATGTCTGTATTCACTCACTGAAAATGTCATCCCAGCTCATGTTGCTGGGGGACGGTCCCCACCCTCTATTAGTGAATTAAATATTACCTAAAGGAAAGACTTTTAGTTAAAAAATACTAGGAAAGTAATCCTGTATTTCTCTAGTTTACTTTTTAGGGGCTTACTGATTTTTTTTTTTTTTTTTTTTTTTTTTTGAGACAGGGTCTCACTGTGCAGTTCAGGCCGGCCTTGAGCTCACTTTGTAGCCCAGGCTGGTCTCGAACGCACAATGATTCTCCTGCCTCAGCCTCCCAAGTGTTGGGATTACAGGCGTGTGTCACCACGCCAGCTGATTTTAATCATATGTGTAGCACCTTAAAGTCTTCTCTCCACCACAAGGGCACAAAGCAGAGAGCAGAAAAATCATCTAAATTGCTACTGCAAAGCACATATCCCACAGCTGAGACCAACTTTGGAATTGCCCTTGCTTGTGAATGATGTCCAGACCCTTTGTCACAGTCTCTGATATGAGGTAGCCTTCCCCATCATGATGTTAGAGACTCCACTCTGGAGTCTGTGTCATTCATTAGAAATAGCTATTAAATATACCAAGGCAGTATACCATTAGCACCAGTTCGCCCCAAGTTCTACTGTGTTTATTTTAAAGTTGCTGAAATTAGTTTCATCTCAGAGACATCAGAAAACAATTGTATCGTAGAAGAATCACTGAACCAGACAGTTCATACCCATGAGTAAACTCAAACTGAAATAGGAAATAGGTCAAGTTTAAGAAGAAACTGCGAGAAAGCTACTAGTAAGACTTGAGAATTATTTTAAAATTTTATAATACACAGTTTGTAAAAAATATCTTTCAGCACTGGGCATGGTAATACATGCCTGTGATCCCAGCACTTGGGAAGCTGAGGCAGGAAGATAAGTTTGAAGCCAGCCTGGGTTACATACTGACTTAAAGACCAGCCTGGACTACACAGTGAAACCCTGTCCAAAAAAA